CCCTCGACTCACTGAATCCAATCCTCCAGGGTGGGGGCCTGGAAATCTTATTTCCAACAAGCACCCCTGTGAGTCTGCTCAGGCACATGTAGGAAATCTGTAATGGATAATCTTCAGAATTAGTCCTAGTCAGGGATTTTGATGATTTAAAAATACACAGTATAGGTTTTGTATCTAGAAGACCTTCAAAAATCATATTTATTCATATAATTCTCTATTTATACAATACTAGAGGCCCCATGCACAAAATCCGTGCAGGGGGCGGGGAGGTATCCCTCAGCCTGGCCTGCGCCCTCTGGCAATCCGGGACCCCTCGGGTAGGGTCCCTAGGCCTGGCCAACGATCAGGGCCTATGGGGCCTTCCTTCCCCGGCTGCCGGCAGCTGCCCTGTCCCCGCTGCTGTCACTGCTTGCCGTTTGTGCAGCGCTGCCCCCCCACCCCCCTGCCATCTGTCCCCTTTCTCTGTAGGCGACAGGTGTGGGGTGCAATCACTTGACTGGCCTGGGCCTCCCTCTGTGGGGCAATCGATCTCAGGGCCTCCAGATCAATCTCCCCTCAGAGGGAGGCCCTGCCCACCCACCACAGTGCAGCCAGCCGGGTGGCCCCGCCTACCCAGCCAGGGGTCCACAATTGCAGAGCCCCCCCCCCCCCCGCCCCAAATTGATTACCCCATGGGCCAGTGGCCTGGGCCTCCCTCTTTGGGCCAATTGATCGCGGAGCCCCCATCAATCGCCCCGCAGAGGGTGGCCTGGGCCTCCTCTGTGGGGTGATCATGGAGTTATGGCAGGCCCCCAACCAATCGCATTGCACCCTCCTTGGCTGGCCTGGCGCCAGTGCGTGTCATAGCGCAGTCGTCCAGAAGGTCGTTTTGCTGTTAGACTGTTCAGTCGATTTGCATATTATGCTTTTATTATTATAGATGTTGTCAACTCCAATATATCTATCTCTTAAAGATCTGTATGCAACCATTTAAAACAATACCGACAGGCTCACTCCCTTCTTGTGGTGTGTGCAGTTCAGGCCTCTCCCAATCTTCCCTGCCCCCAGGTTAGAGCCTCTCTACTGAGGATAGGGTGGCTGCAGACCTCCCCTCCTCCCAGACACATCAAGAGGGCGCATGTGGCTCACCATCAATTTCCCTCCACATGCTCAGGGGCTCCGTCCATGTAATGCTTGGCAAAGGGCTGGGTTACACTTTGTCCCACCTTGATGGTGACACTGACACTGGGGGTTGAGATGTGGGGTTCACGCAGGTGCTGAGCTCAGTTTCATGGAAAAACTGCCCCGCCTTGGAGAGAGGGCCTTGGCAATCAGGTAGGCACTCACCAAGACCGCCGGGAGGCAGTGGACTTTACAACCTGGACTAGTCCCCTTAAGCGACAGTTGCCAGCCAGGGTGTATTTTGCAGAGCCAGCCCCATGCCGGAGAGACTCTGGGCCCCACATCCAGCAAGCTGGCAGGGCTGGTAGGCAGGCCGGTTCAAGAAGACACTCCTGGATACCACTGCCAGCTATTGGAAGACAGGTCAAGGTAGACCAGGTGGGCCAATAACTAAAGAGCCAGCCCAGGGTGCATGTCAGTCCTGTTGTGCATGAGACCCAAGACCCTTGGGCCCAGGGTGGCACGGAACACTGTCCATGGTACTGAACAGAGTCTGTTCCCCTCCAGTCTCAGCTCGTTCACTTCTGACTCCAAGGCTCCCCGGTGGACCACAGCGACGTTGTTAAATTAGCCCAAGTTATTCCATGGTGCTCGTGCTGACGAAGGACCCTCAGGGCAGCTCAAACAAGGACGCATGTTCAATCCTCACGTGCCTGGACTCTTCAGGGAGGTTCCTGGGATCTCTCCCAAGGAGCTGGGCATGCGCTGCAGAGTCCGCATGAGAAACAGACCAGCTTTAAGGTGAACATCAGAGAACTGGGACCAGGCGGATCCTGGCATTAGGTGTGTGAATTAGAAGAAATATTATTCACTTGAAATAAAAGAGTTAGACCTATTTTGGTAAAAGTTCACAGCTCATCAAAGTTCAGTGCCAACTAGAATGGGTCTCCTAGAGATTTTGCTGATTTCCTGAAAATTCTAGGCCCACTCCCACTCCAAGGTATCCCCAGAGGAGCCCCGTCCCCCACAGCCCTCGGCTTCTGGCCAGCACAGCACACCTGCCAAACGTCTCCTCTGTGCTGGCAGGTCCTGGCACACAGGAGGGCTGAGCTGCATGAGAGTCCAGAAGGACCAGAACTAGCAGTGAACGGAAGCCATATTCCTCTGTAAGGAATTACCTTGGGAATTTTGAATAAGACAGTCCCAGCTTCTGAGGGGCAAATCCTATTATTGGTGACCCTTGGCAATGTAGGTCAGCACAGCCATTGAAAAGACTCTGGACACAATAAGGTCTATTGTGGCCCCAACCACAAGCTCAGTAAGAACCTGGTCAGGGAACTAAGGCCAGAAAGTTCACCCTTTTTCTGGGTCTTGAATTCGAAGGCAAACTCCAGGCCAGATGTCCAATTCTGTTCTGATACTGCCTTCCCTCCACTTCTTGCAAAAAGATCTGAGACCCCAGCAGGTGCGCTGTGCTGGAGCGATGCCTCAGGCTTTAAGGAGTGAGCTTTCTTTCAGAATGAGCGGGAGTGGGAGGAGGCCGAGAACTCTGAGCATCATGGATCAGGTGATTTGGCTAAAACTCATCCAGCCCGGCCAGTGTGGCTCAGTGGTTGAGCGTTGACCTATGAACTAGGAGGTCATGGTTCGATTCCTGTCAGGGCCCCTTCCCCAGGTGGCAGACTCGATCCCCAGTGTGGGGCGCGCAGGAGGCTGCCCATCAGTGATTCTCATCATTGATGTTTCTCTCTCTCTCCCTCTCCCTTCCTCTCTGAAATCAATAAAAATATTTTTTAAAACTCATCTAATACTTGATCAATCACAATTGGTTCCTGAAACCTAGAATTTCCAACCATCCTCTAAAAATGAATGCAGGTGATGGGTGACAAGTAATCCTGTGACCACGCCCCGCCCCTGAAAGGTTCCCTCCCACACCTGGCTTGGCTGAGTCCTGCCTCCACTGCACACAGCTGCCTCTGCCCGTGGCGACCAGGGTCAGGGAAGCATCGTGGTGCAGAAGGCAGACCAGACCACAGGCTGTGTTTTCTGATCAAACTAAAACGTGTGTGTTTTAATCTTGGATCTCACAACTTCTCCTGAATGCTATGTATTTCCCATAATAAGAAGGAAAGGCCTACATTTAAAGTGATACATATGTGATTCTTGGGTACTTGCTCTGCCACCCATCACTCAGTCAACAAATATTTATTGGTCATCTGCTCCAAGCTACACACCTGCTGGGGCAGGGACGCAGTGGTGAGCAGCCCTGTGCAGACGCTGCCCCATGGCCTTCTTTCCAGCTCAGCCTCCCGTCACAACGCCTTGGGAAAGTCCTTTAACCTCTGTGAGCCTCGATCTTTCCTCTGCAAAGTGAGGGAATTAATACACATTCATAGTGCTTCTAGGCAACTCTGCGATTATGTAGAATAGAGTACCCAGAATGCAGCACTCCATCACCTGTGTTGTGTGTTCACCACCCTTGAGTAATAAATTTCAGTTCCCCTCCCACACCAACAGACTCTCCTTCCCTGTTACCTGGGGCACTTCCTGATGAATATTGAGGTCCCATGGTTCCCCTAAGACTCAGGACACACACAGCTCCCTGCCAATGCCTCAGTGAGCAGCCAGTGAGGGGAGCAGTGGGTCCTTACTAAGCTGCTTCCACACCAGCTTTCCATCCGAGCAGACACACCTGCCGGGTTCACAGTCTAACCCTGTGAGCTGCCAGGTCTCCAAGTCCCTCATGAGGTAAGAATTAAAGCAGGACGTGCTGTGGGCACAGAGCTGGGGTGAATGGACCCCTCCAGGAGTGAGTGGGTACTCACTGGCCAGGAGTGTGTGCAGAAGCATTCCTGCCGAATGTGCCCCGGGCAGGGACTGAGGTGGTGCGGGCAGCGGCACGGGCAGTGTGACCCGACAAGGACAACACTGATGGCGACTTGCATTCCAGAGCCCCCACCAGGTTGGCCAAGGTTTTGTCAGGTTTGCTTCCTGGAAAAAAATGTGTTTTACTCTGTGGGTATCAGAAACCACTATGAATTCTGTTCTCACCCCAAAATATAAGGGCCTAAAGAGCTCTCCACCCCCACAATTTTTTCTCTGTTCATCCCGTATTAGTCTCTTCAAATGAGTCTAGCTCAGCACACCCGCTGGTGAGAAATGTCTGGAACCACTGGCACTTCCGCTCCCTCCTCTGCTGGCCCCTCACCCTCCGCAGGGCCCCGGAGGAGCTGTGTTGTCAGTTAAGGCAGGAGACTAGGACAAGGAAAGTTACTTGGGTTATATTATTTTTCTTAAATAGCGAGTGGTTAAGTGGTGTCTCTAAACTCAATAGATTCAACAACAAAGGGAAGGAGCCTGAGTACCTTAGTCCCCACCTCTCTCCCTGCAAGATGCCTTTAGGAATTGGGCTCTTATCATGGTAGAGACAGAGTATAAGAAAGAACTTACTCTGTGTTTATGAAATAATTAGATAGAAATGGCTTCTGGGTATCAGCTCCCTGGCTTGTCTTAATAGAATATTAATCAGAAAGTTTCTGATCTAGTCAATTGGCAGGACGTTGGGACATCTCGGACAGAGACTAAGTGACGTGTAAGAAATGACATGCTGCCCTTGATCTCCCTCAAGCTGATGCCCTTCCCTCCCCGACGCTGGCCATCGTGTCGGAGATGGTACCCAGGCTCTGTGGCGTGCCTGTGCCTGGATGGACCCACAGAAGACTATGTTCCCAACGCCTGAAACAGGGAGGTTATGGGACTAATATTCTTGCTGATGAAATGTTAGAGCAAATAATGTTAAAAGCCCCAACATGCTCCTCCAGTTTCTCCTTTCCCTGTTGCAGCCATAGCTGACATTCCAGGTGGTGGGGTCATTGGCCTGGGCCCCTGCGTGAGTGGGTGGAGCAGAGCCCTCCCCTCGTGCACTTTCCCTCCTGACTTAGGTAGATCTGTGAGAGCAAAAACACATATTTCTATGTTAAACCACTGAAATTTGGGAATTGTTAGCACAGCATAAGCATAACCTATACTGGCTTTTAAAAAGCCCTTGCAATCAAATATAATATGCTCAAATACTTGTAAGTTGATTTTTTGTCTCTACTGGCTTATATGATAGTCAAAACAAAAATTTTCTGCTCTGGCCCTGGCTGGTGCGGCTCAGTTGGTTGGAACGTCATTCCACACATCAGAGGGTGGTGGGTTCAGTTCCTGGTCAGGGCACACACCCAGGTTGCAGGGTTCGATCCCTTGTCAGGGTGTGTGCAGGAGGCAACTGATTGATGTTTCTTACATTGATGTTTCTCTCTCTCTCTCTCTCTCTCTCTCTCTCTCTCATCAATAAAAAAAATTTCCCAGCTCTAGTTCTCTTAACACACTGCTCTCTGGGTCCCTTGACTGAAAAACTAGTTTTAATAGCCCACATCTACTTCCAGGATAGAATTTCTTTTATTTGCCTCCCATACCCTTCAACTTAGACTGCAATTACAGATAAGTAACATGAGACACAGCTTCTCCTGGGCAAAGGAGAGCATGGCCACACACCACTCAGAAAAGGCATGTCGAGAGGCTGTGATTCCAGCCCTCCAAAGAAGGCAGCGTGCTATGGGACCCTGTGCGGGCGGACTCTCCATATGGGTGGCCAGAACTGCTTTTCACAGGACTCAAAGAACTTCAGGTTTTCAGGAACTGACTCAGACTAACCAGACTCATACACCAAAGGCTAATATATAAACAAGACATCATTTTATTTTTTTACAACAGGAATTTGTTTTTCCCAATGACTTGAATATTCATGAGCACAATCCAGCCTGAGTATCCTCTGTAAGAGCAAATCAAAGAAGACAGAACACATAAGGGGAAGATGGTTACGGGGGTTGGGGGCTGACCATCTGGGGGTTATTTTGTTCAGATGACCAAGTTTGAACTCTCTCTCTCTCTCTCTCTCTCTCTCTCTCTCTCTCTCACACACACACACACACATATACACCCACACATACACACACAGACACACACACAAGTACAATGCTGGATAAATACTAACATACTAAGAAGTGCTTGCTTTTAAGTCCTAGGTGATGGGCAAAAGTTATCTATGTATGGACATTCTGTGTTCACGGGCACCGCTGCTCTCCTGGTTCTGACTCCGGGTTCCAGTGGCACCAAAAATCCACTCATGTAGTGAGCCTACCGTGGATTGCATTGCATTGATCCACACTGAATATAGACCCTCAGCTGGCCAGAAAGTCATCAAAGACTTGGATCCTCCGAGAAAATCCACCACAACCCCTGTAAGTCATTCCGCTCTCAGACTCCAGTGTTCTCATCTGTACAGTCAAGTAGCCCAGCCTCTATAATAAACTGCTGTGAGGGTCAAAGGAGAGAAAACAGGAAAATATGTTGTAAGGTCTTTTGTAAATGTGAGAGGAAATGAGCTTAGAAATCCCAGCATCACACTGGGTTATACCAAGCGAGTGTTCACCACCACGTGGAGTCTTGCAGGTGATGTTAGTCAGGTAGTTTCCGCGGATCACTTGCCGTCCCAAATCTTCTCAGGTGTTGTTACCCGAAGGTTTTGGCACCAAATACCCGGATGCTCCTTTGGTGGAGCTCAGTGCTGCAGAGGAGACACACGGAAACTTCTGCGGACGCCCGCACTCAGGCCCTCAGTGAGCTGAGGAGGCTTCCTTTCCAGTGGCCCCTGAGCGACTGGGGACATGGAGATGCCCCCAGGAGCCAAGGTAAGTTTAGGAAGCACCACAGACACTGCTGCACGGGCAGAGCAAGCTGTGCGCAGACAGCAGGGTGCACGCGGCCGCACACGGGCCCCTCTCGGCCCCTCCAGATTGACATTCGTGAGTAAATGAACACCATTCAAATCTCTAGAACTCACTGAAAATCAATTATTCTCTCCAGGCAGAATGGCGCCCAGAGGAAAAATGTTAGAATCTGTCAATGTCCACAGTGAGGCGTGGTGTGTCTTCGGGTCTGTGTGTGATGGCACAAAAGCGGCTGCTGCACACGGAGGCGTGTGTGAGGCCTCTGTGCGCGTCACCGCCACCACGCCGCACAGATGCCAGCAGGAAGGCCTTGACTCTGGGACCCACTGCCAGGCCAACTTCCGCGCGGCCACGTCCCGCCTGCGGGTTGTGGGCAACGCAGTAGATGAGATCACGGCTCAGCCGATAGTGCTGCCACCATGACTTCCAAGGGAGAACGTCCTCCACCCCTGTAAGTTGGGTTTGGCCATGGCACTGGCTTTGGCAGATGGAATATGGGCAGTGTGCCCGTTCTAAGCCAAGAGTTTGAGAGGCATCACATTCCTCTGATGTCATCTGACCCCCGGGAAAGGAGCCTGCCCCAGGTGGCCACCGGCTCTCCATGTTGGGCCCCAAATAAGACACATGGGGCAGAGCCACCTGCCCCTCCCAGACCTGTGGGCTGTGCAAACGTAAGTGCGCTGCTTGGGGCCTGCACTGCTGCTTCATTCATGTGCAGCGAATAGGGCCGCACAGGCGTGCGGGGCACAGGCCCTTGGACCGGGCCTTAGCCGGAGAAGACATGAGAAGTCGTGGGCGAACAGGAGGGTCTTTATTGCTGACAAGGAGCCATTAAACAGAGTAGTTCTTCAAAGTAGCCCACAAAGCAGCCGCACAGACCCCGGCCAGCCACCTGCTGACGGCAACACACTCTTCCAGGAGCTCAGACAACGAGGCTTCTTGCCAAACAGTGACGTCAGCATCCGGGTTGCAGAGGCGCCTGCGCAGTGCATGCAGGACCATCGCTGAGTCCTGCCTTTGCACCTGCGCGTGGCAACTTGGCCTTGAACCTCTGTTGTCCTCTGATGAGGGTCCCCACAGCAAGTTACTTCATTCCCCTGCTTCTGCTCCAGGAAGATGGGGAAAGAATTGCAGGGGTGTCTTCTGCAAAGATTGTTGTAAGAATTAAATGAGTTAATGCATATAAAGCACTTAGAACACTTCCTGGCACATAGTAAGCGCTTTAATAGGTGTTAGTTCTTGTCGTTGTGTGTAGTGGAGGAGCGGGTGAGCACGTGGGGGGAAGGGTCGGAGCAGGTGTGTGGGCGCCGTGCACCAGGGGAGCCTCAGCAGAAGTACTCGTCCACCCGCCCACCCCGCCTGGCGCCCCCGGTCGCAGAGTCCAGGCTGGAGCTGGAGCGGGCGGACAGGAGCCCCTCAGCCTCTCCGAGGCTGGGCTGGGGCCGCGGCCCTGAGTCCTCGCCGAGGCTGAGGCTCAGCCCATCCAGGCTGAGGTAGGTGCTGGTGGCCTCGGGGGAGCGCCCGGCACGGCACTGGCGGCAGCGCCTGCGGAGGGCCCCGCAGCCCACGAGCAGCGTGAGGGGCAGCGCGATGACCGCGGCCACGCTGGCCACAACCGCGTTGATGAGCCGCTGCGTGGCCTCGGCGTCCGCCACCTCGTCGGGGGAGAAGACGACGCACTGCTCCTTCCGGGGCGCCAGGCCCCGCGCGCAGACACAGGCCACGTACTTGGTCTCCGGCACCAGCCCCCGGAGGGTGACCCTGGTCCTCCCAGGCGGCACGGCCACCCGTCGCATGGTCCGCTGCCCGAGGACAGCGTACAGGACACTGAGGGCCACGCTGCCGGCCCGGGGCGCCTTCCACACCAGCGTCACACTCTGGTGTGTGTCCCCCACCACCTTGAGCGCCGTCACCATCCGGGCCTCCTGGGGTCCCGTCGGCCCACCCTCCTCCATGCTGGGCCCTGCAGGCCAGGGTGTGGGGGGCATACGCCTGGCCACCAGCCTGTCGTACGCAGCTGCTTCTGGCCCCTCGCCTGTCCCTGCCCCTGGGGCCTCCGGGCTCCTGCTGCACTCGGTGGAAGCCTGGGGCTCGGTGACGACCAGAGAGGTGAGGGTCTCGGAGGCGCCCAGGAAGTTGCTGGCCTGGCAGACGTAGTCCCCGGCGTCGAGGTGGGACACGGCGGGCAGGCCCAGCAGCGCCCAGCTGGTGCCGTCCCTGGAGACCTGCTGGTGCACTGGGGGGAGGGGGAGGCACGGATGAGGAGGGTGCCCGGGCCCTGGCTCCCTCCAAGGGCCACACTCGAAGCCCAGACTGTGTACACGCCACTGAAAGCCTTGTCACCCCAAGAAAACACTGGGGCTCACCCACCTTTCTTAGACTAGCCAAGGAGATTGAGACCACCGAGGCTCTAATCTGGGGAGAGCCCGGCTAAGTCAGTGCCCAAGAACGCTCTGCCTTCTAAGCCTGCCACGTGCGGACTGTTCCTCAGGCCCTGGAGCTCTGCAGCGCTGACCAGGCAGCAGGCTGGTGCGGGGCACGCGGCAGGAGCCCTGGAAAGTGCCCTCCCATGGCTGCACGGCCCATCGCTCCGGCCCTGCACCAGCTCCAGGGGCGCCTCCTGCTTGCTGTCTGTGGCCTGGCGCTCCCTGTACAGCTCCCTGTACACTGATTCCAAACCCCTCGTTCTAGAGCAGCACTGGCCAACCTGGTTGCAGGAGAGAGAAGAAAGCTGGGCAGAACCAAGCATCCGGTCAGACACTGAGAGAGGCTCCTCCTCAGCTCTCCCTGGGTGTGGCGAGCGCTGACTCCCCACCAGCCTGCCCAGGGCCAGGATGAGCCCTCTGTCTAAGGCAAAAGAGCCTCCCTGTGGAGTCACCGGAGCGCGGTCCACGCCCGTCCTCCAGTAGGAGCTGCTGATGGAGGCCGCGCATTTAGCCTCTCAGAGCCTCAGGTTACTTATACAAAATAAGAAGATTGCTCTTCAAAGCTCAAAGACATGATGGACAGAATACATTTAACAAAGAGCTTCATGAATGTAACTCACATCAAAAGTTACTCCAAGTGATACCAACTTCATATTTGCAACTGGGAGACACTGTTACCCTCTCACTGGGGGCCCTGAGTCTCTGATAGAGGGGCTGGTGGGATGTGACAGGACAGGCTGAGAGCCACCATTGAGGCCAACTGTCCCAGGCCCTGCCTCTGCGTGACGCCTGTCCAACCCCATCGGGCAGAATGGGCGTGAACAGCCCCGCTCAGCCTGCTGCCCGCTCCTCAGCCTTTGGGACCCTGACCCGCTGCCCTGTGGGATCTCAGCATGGTGGTCCCTGAAGCTCACACACCTGTGCCGTTGAGGGGGCGCCCACTGACCCTCCTCCAGCTCATCTGGGGCTCAGGGACACCAGTGGCCCCACAACGGAGCAACACTGTGCTGCCCAAGGGAGACCTGACGCTGGCCACGCCTGGTCGCAGCTCGGGTCCCTGGCACCTGCTCAGCTGCAGCTGGCGGAAGGCCACACCGGCCAGGCCGCCTGGACCGGCACACCGTAGCCCGGCCTCTATGAAGGCCAGGTGCGGGGCCCCGCCTTCCAGGAAGTGGACCAGGTCGTGGAGTCGGCAGTCACATGCCCAGGGGTTGTCTTGCAGCCCTGCAGGGTGAGAGGCCAGAGGTCAGCCCGCTGTTCACATCCCCAGGCCCACTCCCTCCCCCTTGGGGGTCTAGGCAGGTTCTGAGCTCAGCCAGCAGAACTGGCCTCCCACTCGCTCCTTGCCGCCCAGTCCTGCCCCCTCGGCGCCCCAGCCCTGCCCCCTCAGACCCCCAGCCCTGCCCCCTCAGCCTGCTCTTTCTCTGGAGGCCTCACATGGCTTCCTTGTCAGGTTGTCATGAGCATAAATAAAAAAGAACCACATCAGGCACTGGGTAGGCCATACAGCACCAACAGTGTCAGCAATGACCCCACCAGCCTTAGAGGGACACTTTCAGCCACTGGCCAGCGAGCATTCCTGTGGTGCTTGCCATGTGCCAAAGCCCGTCGCTGGCAGTGCTGTGACCCTGGCTGCTTGACCCCTGACCTCCCAGTGTGAGTGACACTGCCAGCACCAGCCCAGCAGGGTGGCTGTCTGAGCCCTGGTTCCTCTGACACAGGCTCAAAAGGAGAGAAGAGAGGAGGCCAGGAAATCAAACCCTATGTCACCGTCCTGTACTCGCACGTTTTTCGGAGCTGGAAGGTCACTGCCCCTCCCTCCCCCCCGTCAAAACCTCCAACAGAGACAGGGCATCCTGTGTCCTCAATCCTCAGGCACAAATCCTCTTTATATGTTTGCATTTCTGAAATGCAAAATAAATGCATTTAATATGATGTCCTTTTTATCCCCCAAAGACTGTTATTAAATGTGATAGTGTGTCAGGAGTCAGTGGATCTTGTACATGTATATGCAGGTGTTCGGTTTGTTTGAAAGAAGAATGTGAGTGTGGAAAGGCTGCATTCACATCTGCTGGATGGTCACGACTCATGAGAAAGCCAGCCAGGGGCGCTGGCTCCTTCTCCTGCCCCAGCCCTCCCCACCCAACTGGTGAAGTGCGTGTAATGAGTCATCACTGCCTGCCTCTGGCTTTCACCTGATACAGAGTCCCCGGTAAATGAATGCAAAAGGCAAAGTCAGAGGACAGGGAAGCAGTCACCCATCACATTGGCAAAAGTGAAACATTTGGCCACTTTAACTGTTAGCCCACGAGAAAGTAGATCTTCATCAGCTGTGCTCACGGCTGCATTTTTCCCAGAGCCTAGAACTGTGGCACATATTCATAAGGGCTCAAGTCAACTTGCGGAGCGGGCACCACATGCCTGGGGAACAACATCGAGCGTGCACACTCCGTGAGCTCGCCACGCCCCTAGACAGCTGTCTGCAGGAATCTCGGGGAGCGGGTGGGGGGCACATGCTTTGAAGACTGTTGGCTTTGGGTTTCCCAGAAGGAGGCTGAGAGGCAGAGTGCGGTGCAGGGGAAGGAGGAAAGCAGGAGAGAGGGGAGCTCTGTGCGCCTGGCAAACCCCCGGGCTGGGGCGCTCTGGAGCTAGAATAGCCCATCAGCGACCTTTACCTTCCCCCTGATAGGTCCTTGGATGGGACTGTCCTCAGAGAGGGGTGTGCCCTTGGGAGAGGCTGTTTTGAGCTGAGATGTTCCCCGGGGGGAAACCCCCCCCCCCCGGGGCAACCACCCCAGGCGCTGGGCACCGGGGGGGGGGGGGGGGGGGGGGGTGCTGCACGTCTCTGTACTGCCCAGGTGCCCATGGCTGCGAGCGCTATGCCCCCAGGCCTGCCTGTTTGAATAGATCTTTCTATCAACCTCTCTTCTCTAAAGGAAACGGGCATAGAGAAGCTGAGCCAGGGACACAGCTAGTAAGGGGCAGAATTTGAACTCCTAACCTTACCAGTATGTGCCTAGCGCTCAGCCTCCGCTTAACCCAGGACCAGCGCCATGTCCGTTTCCCAGGGAAAGAATCAGATCCCAGAGAGGCGTGGTGTCCTGCACAGACCCGAGGCGCAGGGGCCTCTCTTACCGAGGACCAGCCCGGGGCGGCCCGGGAGGGAGGGCGCGGCGGGCAGGGGAGCCCAGGCGGCCTGGAGCGCGGGCGGGAGCCGCAGCAGCCGGTTGCTGGAGAGGTCCAGGAAGGTGAGGTCGCGCAGGAAGCGCGCGGCGCCGGGCGGCACAGCGGCGAGCCGGTTGGCCTGCAGGTCCAGCAGCCGCAGGCGCGGCGCGTCTCCGAGCGCGGCCCAGGGGAAGGCGGCCAGGCGGTTGCCCGGCAGGCGCAGCTCCCGCAGGCGGCCCAGGCCCCGCAGCGCCCGCGCGCCCAGCCGGCCCAGCGCGTTGTAGGGCAGCCAGAGCTGCTCCAGGCGGCGCAGCGCCACGAAGGCGGCGGCGGGCACCCTGCGGATGGCTGTGCGCTCCAGGCGCAGCCGGCAGGTGTCGGGCGGCACGGCCGCGGGGGGCAGGGTCATGTCCGGGTCGTTGCACACCACCGTCCTGGGCACAGAAAGGGGGCGTCTGAGCGAGGGTCTGGCAGGTGAAACCCTCCCCACCTGCCAGAGGCCATTGCTCTGCAGGGACCGGGGACACCCCCCTGGCTCCAAGCTGCAGGGCTCTGGGATGGGCGGGAGCCAGCCCCTCCTGGTTCCTGAGGCGAGGGGAGTAGGGCCTGATTTCAGAGCCTTTCACGGGGTCCCGGGGGCAGCTTGGTCTCTGTCACCCTGAGGGACCTCAAGCTGAGCCTGCCGTGCCCGGCACTGCCACCGCCCCCTCCACAGTGCAGCACTGAGTCCCAGATCCCCAGGCGCATGTCCTTTGGCAAATGTGTTGATTGTCACATTACAGCTCCGCTTTTGTAACCATCTGGGCTTTTCTTCATTTAAAAACTATATGCCAAGAGCATCAGAAACGGCAGCCACGCGGTGCCTCCCCCTCTGACTGAGCCCCACCCCCACCCCCAGCGAGACTCACACCTGGGCTCTGCTTGCTGCCCGTGTCCTTGAGCGCGTTACACGACCTTCACTTTCCTCAGTGTCCCCGTAACAATAGAGTCCACCTCACGGGTGGTTGGGGGTAAAGGAGGCCATGTGTGTGCCGCTCGCACATGGGTCGCCCGCAGGGCCCAGGCTGGTGCCAGGCATAGATGCCAACCAGCCCTGCCGGTGTGTCAGGCTCCACAGCGCCTGCCAAGGCGCCTCCTGCGCCAACAGCGGCACCTGAAGTTTCGACCTGTGAGCTTGGCACGAAAGGCCGCAGGGCTGGCTCTCCCCGCCACGGGGCTGCACCACTGTCAGGGCGGAGCGGCTGTCCAGGAGCCGGCCTGGGAGGCCCAGATGGAAGGGGCCTCGGCCTCCCCACACGTCATGCCCGTGGGCACTGCAGCCGCTCAGGCCTCCTTCCCTGGCAGGACCTCCCTGCACACGGGATGGCGAACAGCTGCGAGGCTACCAGCAGGTAGACTGTGGCAAGAGCACTGGTGTCAGAGGCAGGATGGCCACTGGCTGACATCAGGGGCCCGGAAGCTGTCCTTGGAATGTCCTTTTCCACACTAAGGTTAACCTGCTACCAAGACCTCACCAATGGGCAGAGTCTGGAAAAGGAGCAGTGGCCGGGTCCCAGCACCAGGCCGGCCCGATGCTGCGGGCTCAGCCGGTGCTTCCTGTGGTGGAAGGAGGTCCTGCATCCCTCGGTCGCCCTGTGCAGGCCCCGGGCTCAGCCTGGCTTCCCTTCGGAAGAGGCCCCTCACCGCGGATGGTCTGCGTGAGTTGGAGTATCAGAGATCTGAGCCACACATGGAGCTTTTTCTGTGCTTCAGGCCATATGGTGCCCTTTCTTGGGTTCTCGCTGCCTCCCTCACACCCAGTCAGCCAGTACCCCTGGCCGGGACCACTGAGAGGCGCACTGACAGTATCGCTACCTGATCAGAAACCACCAGTGTCTCCCCAACACCCACCTAAGACAGGGAGAAAGGAATATGGAATTCCAGAAGGTTGAAAAGGTTGTGGGAGAGGCCCTGAGTCAGGTGAAATTCTTGAGTGAGGTGGGGTTCAGTGCTCATAGATGGATAAACTGAAGTGTCAGAGAAAAGATGCTTTGAAGACATAGGAGGAGAAAGGGAGGGAGTCATGGTAGGGGTG